GTATTCTGAGGTTTTCAGCATTGCACCGAATACATAATAATAGTGCTTTTTAGTGTCGCGGTGGTTTAAAACCCTTTTAGAACCATATTACATACAGTTGTGCGTCGGGCCGCGGAACGTAAATGGCCCGTTTGCTGACGATCACCCAAGACTCTCACCCCGCTTTGGAGCACGGCGCGCAGGACTCGCAGCAGAGGCCTCTGCTCCAGGCACAACCACGACAGGTGAACGCTGAGTCGCATCGTCGGGTGACACGGTGTGGGCGACTGGCGTGTAAGCAAGTGACATCGGCTTCTATGGTGTCGTGTGGGGGTGTGTGTGCGCGCGCGCATAGATCGTAAGTACACATAATAAGTCTCGGACAGATGGGTGGTTTCTCAAACAAATCGAAGACTTGTACAGCTAGCGGCGCCATGTGGCTGCGCGCTTGCACATAAATAAGAGAAGTAATACACGGGGAAAAAATCATGAGTTGATCGTTGTTTCCGTTCGACAAAAACGCATATCTTTTTTAAAATTTATTTTTTTCTTCCGTCGGACACATCACATATTTCAGGACGATGACCGAGACTAACCTTTCACCCCCCGCGGCATTGTGCGAAAAAGCACAAGGAACAACATGAGTCAGGCCACGCCTCACCAACACCACACGCACGTACGCGCGCGCGCGCGCACACACACACACACACACCTTACCCCCCACAGGCGGGAAACAAATGGGGGCCCGCATGTGTAGACACTTGTGTAGACACTTGCTGCGCCGCACTATAGCGGGTCCCCCACGAGGCCGCGGAGGCCCACAAAGAGGCCGACAGCAGGCATCGCACGGCCTCTCTTGGTCTTGCAAAAAGATTACTTCCGGGGAGGCAATTTGTCGAGTGGAGATCCACAGAGGCCTCCCCGCTGCTACAGCAACGTATGGGGCCCGGCTGGCCCCCGGCGTGTGCGCGCGAGCAGCCGACTGTTGCAGCACTCTGGAAAAAAAAGGAGTTCCAAATTTCAGAAGAAGTCTCAAGGTAATCTTTCTGGTGGTGCATACTGTACAGCTACCCCGTCAACCAACGCCACGTTGGCCGCACAAGCGTGCAACCCGTCCGCGTGCCTCCATGCGGTGCTGCACTTTCACGAAAGTGCGCGGGTTAGTAGAGCGTTTCACTTTTCACTACAGTTTCGAAAAAAATTCCGCACTACCCCTACATCGATTCCTTATTTAAAATAAAGAAATGCGTGTCTCGGCGATTTCCTAAATTATGAAAATTGAGCTATGCGCTACTGCTCCAAAGTTTTGAAATAGTTTGAATTTAGTAAAATAATCATCTCCCTCAAAAATCGACCGATTTTCGCCGTTCACAGCTCAAAACACTTGTACTGCTTTACACAATCAAGATACGCCCGCGATAGGCTGCTAGAGTGGCTCTACAGTCTCTCAGAAGGCACAATAGGCGGTAAACACACTAAAATCGTCCGTGTTTTGAGCTGTGAACGGCGAAAATCGATCGATTTTTAAGGGAGTTATGATTTTTTTTTTTCTACTAAATTCAAACAATTCCAAAACTTTGGAGCGGCGGCGCATAGCTCAATTTTCATAATTTAGGAAATCGGCGAGACACGTATATTTCTTTATTTTATATAAGGAATCGATGTAGGGGTAGTGCGGATTTTTTTTCGAAACATTAGTGAAAAGTGAAAAGCTCTACTTAACACCCACCCTCTGTGTTATTGTGTTCCGGAATGCAGAGTGCACCGCGTGTTAAAACTTGGAGCTGAGCACGTTGACCATCGAGTAGGCCTGGCGAAGGGCCCGGCCCGCGTTGGCCAGGCTAAGCCGGCCCAGGCCCCGGCAGCCAAGGGCCGGCGGCCTGCTGGCGGCCAGGATAACGAGCTGGAGGGCGCGGGCCTCGGCCAGGGTCACGGCGCCGCCGGTCGCCGCGGCGTAGGCGCACCTCTTCAGCGCCAGACTGGAGTCCGACAGCTCCTGGCTGAAGTACGACAGCTGGAGAAAGATGACCACGACGGGTAGCAGCAGGACGTAAGTAGTGTTTGTTACGTCGTTGATCAACAACTTCAACAAAGAAGAATACTGTGGTGACACCCAGAAAAATAGTTTCTTGATTCAAGTGCAAGTTGGTGTTGGTACAAGATGAAATTCCCCATTGAAACAAAGGCGATTTTCTCTTTGGAATAATATGTTTCTCTTATTCGAAAGAAAATATCAGCTTGTTTCAAGAGTAAATTTGATCAGCGTGCACTTGAAGCAAAGGAAAAATTTACTTGAATCAAGAAATGATTTTTCTGGGTGAAGGTAACAAGTCATGTAAATGTAAGTTTTTGATTTATTTATGTTTTTTGAGAGTCCCGGGCATAGTCCACTGTTGCTGTCTCTACCCGAAGGTAAAAGTTTTAACTTTTGATATCAGTATAAGAGCTCTACCGGTTCCTTCGGGCATCATTAGTCCTCCCTATGGAGCATTCCCGTATTAGTCTTCCACTTTACTTCTGTCTAGTAGGTATGTGGTGTGCTAATGTTTTTAGATTTTTAAAATCTATTTCATGCCCGTAAGCATTTTTACCCAAGCGCCGACAAAAACTTTAAAAATTCTCTTAACTAGAAGACATTATAAAGAGTCGTAAAGTGGGTGAAAAGGTAAGGGGAATCCAATGGTCAAGACCTGTAAAAGACAGATCAACCGTTGGGACAGAATTCATGGGTGAAAAAGTATGAAAGAATTGCATAT